GTTTCTGTCCCCCTGCATAGGATAAAGATGGAAAACCACTACTGCCAAAGGAGCCCAAGGAACCACTCCCAGTAAGCAAGCCAGTTTTCTCTGAGTGTCTCTCTCTCTCCTTTGGCCCTGATGGTTAATGCGGGGAGGGCATAGCTTTCTGTGGAATGAGTTGATCAGCATATAAACAGTGACAACATTTTGAAGAGACTGATGAGGTGGTGTTTGTTGATACATTTCCTGGTTCTTTGCAGCCCTTGAGTGAAGACTTCCTCCTTGATGCTTTGTCCAAGGACTTCGCCGTTCCCCCAAGCACTTCACCTCTTGTAAGTCTTCTGAGATTCCTGGTTTTATTTCCGTACTTTTAGGGTAGCAGAAATAAATGGAAACTTGTGACTTAGAACCTGATGTGGGAGCTGAGGAAACAATCACAAAATTAATGGCCCTCAACCCACTGTAGCCATAAAAAATGTGTTCCATTTGAAATATTGGTCCAGCACAGTGGATGTTTTCGACCATGTAACTAATTGAACCAATGAGCATGTACTCTATCACGTATACCTATGAAAAGAGAATTTAAAATTGAGTTGTCCAATACATTTGAAAAATAAATGCATAAAAATATGAAAAAATACTGAAAAGCATTTTTCAGTATTTTTAGGGAAGATTAACCCAACTAAACACCAGGATTTATTAACAGTAATGACAAAAAATACAGTTCTGATTCAGAAAGCGAAGCCACAGGCCAATGGGAAAGAAATCCAGAAATGAACATAAATGACAGATTCAGTGTTTCTTTAAAATGAGAAAAGAAATCATTATTTCAGAAAGATTCTAGAATAATATACCATTTAACATTAAGAAAAAATGATACAACTGAAGCTTCTTCATCCCATATACCAAGTATTAAAACAATAGTAGCACATAATTTTATACCTAATACATGATCAGAATTAAAATGTGATAAATCTCTAATTTAGGCAAGCAAGGCCATGGGAAACAGGCATGGCCCTTCGTTGCTTGTGGCACTGTGAATTTCTAGCAACTTTGAGAGGGCACTTGGCAGAATATAGCTAGCACCATAAAAAGAGCCACTTCTAGAACTTATTCAGAGCAATTAATTACAGAGAAGAAAGCTGAAAACTCCAAACAACCTAAACGTGCAACAAGAAATGTATAAACTACAGTACTCTAAATCAGTAGCTTGTTGAACGTTTAGGATTAATAAATGGGAATAGGAAATTGTATAAAATAATGTATGGAATAGGACGTAGAATAAAAATGGCTCTTAAGATGCTGTGTTGCTGTGCTTCCATTTGGATCAAGAGAAAAACAATCAAAAAGCTATACTGAGAGTTGTATTTAAGAGATGGTGTGTGGGCATAATTTGCATACACCATATGACTGGTCAAAATCTTTTTTTTGTTTGTTTTCTTACAAAAGCAATTGGAAGATGCTAAACTTTCAGCTGTCATCTCTGAAGTGGTTTCCCAAACCCCAGCTCCAACCAACCACTCTGCAGGTCCACCCCCAGACACTCCGGTAAGCAACAGAGTTTATGAGTACGTTTTTCAGCAGCAACAACAAGGAGAAAGAAAATAGGACTCCTCCTCAGAGTAAATGAAAATCAACAAAATTGTTAGGAAGAACAGGCACCTTCCGTTTCAGAAGAGGTAAGACTGGTGAGACAGGGAGATGACAGAGAATATCTAAAATGATTAAATATATAAAACAATGTATGTGAAAGTATTGTACACACAGTGAAGGAGCTTAATATTGTTGCTTTATTAGAATTGAAGTACAATAATGTGCGTTGTGTATATATTCAGATTATTAGATTTTTAAAAATTATTTAGCTTTCCTGATCATCGATGTTCTCCTCCTTTATATTTTTCCTGATCCATGCTATAAATACTACTCATTATTTAACCTCAAGTTTACTTTAAGGAATTGCTCAGTGTTTGAGCTTCTCTCTGCCCCCAAAATTCACAGACTCCTCATGGAATAGCATTGTCTTCCTCCCATTCACACCAGTAAAAACTTGTCATTTTCATGCTAGTAATAGAAGAACCTTAGTGTCAATATTGTTTTAATTATTTACATGTTCTGAGGTAAGACTGTGGGACCAGAGCTTTTCCAGACTTCCTTGATTGATTTACTTTGCAGTACCAAATTATACATTATCCAGGAGACCACGGCACATCAAAAGATAAAGAAATCGCCCTAAACCAGATCCCCATCTCCTTGGTTGAGAAGAAGTGCCCCATCTGCTAGTTGGAGATGAAGTAGCTTTAGTGAAGTCAGCTATGCTTCCTTTCCTTTTGATGAAGCATCAAAGCTTACTTAGTGCTGTACTCTGAGATTCTGAGTGAATTTTCATCCTGTTGGGTTAATGTGGGATCATCTGAGAACATCCAGAGGCACAAATGACAAAGCCCAGACCCAGCTGTGGGTAGCACCACCATTAGCTGCTATAATCCTGGGCTCTAATGAAGCACTTAAAACCAGTAAAATGCCCTCTCTCCATGTGTCTATGTGTGTGTCTGTGTATATACACACAGCCACAATGACAGAAGTCCCTGTGCAACAGAAAGGAAGGCTGCCATTTACACTTCAATTCTTTTTTTTTTTTTTTTTTTTGCGGTACGCGGGCCTCTCACTGTTGTGGCCTCTCTCGTTGCGGAGCACAGGCTCCGGACGCGCAGGCTCAGCGGCCATGGCTCACGGGCCCAGCCGCTCCGCGGCATGTGGGATCTTCCCAGACCAGGGCACGAACCCGTGTCCCCTGCATCAGCAGGTGGGCTCTCAACCGCTGCGCCACCAGGGAAGCCCTACACTTCAATTCTTAATACTCAGATTCTAGGGGCCCCTGTGTTTGAGGCTATTAATGAACGTCCACAATCAAAAGCCTTTTTGCCTTTCACAGGTATGTTTTAGAATGACACCTTTACCATCACTTTTCCCATCAGAGTTTCTAGTGTTAGTTAATATTTTGTTTGAAGATATCATTAAAACTAGGTATAAATCTTTCTTTACAGGAATACACTTGGGAATCAAAGAGTAAACTAAGCTATCATAATTCATGTGACTTTTCTTTGCTGGGAACATACTGTTACATATATTGAAAGCATCCTAAGACATATTTTCTAGAAGAATCAGGCCAGGAACCCCATCTTTTTAGGGAGGGACCTATTTTCTCAGAAGAGTAAGACATCCAGGGGTGGGGCGGGGTAGACAGGTGCAGACAAGTGCTGAGAGTGAAAGACGAGAAGGAGCACCAAGCAAGGATCGCCTATCCAGCGCCTCTGCCCACCTGCCCATCTCCCTGGTGACAACCCCATAAGCTTATAGAAGTCTTAGTGGCAGTGTCAGGGCTGCACTCCAACAGGTGACCTCATTTGGCTAACCAGTGACTGATTCAGATTTACTTTTTAGCGGAGTGACGACAAAGAACTTGACGATGCCCTGGATCAACTTTCTGACAGTCTCGGGCAAAGACAGCCTGATCCAGATGAGAACAAACCCCTAGAGGATAAAGTCAAGGTAAAAGAAAAACAAATCATTAATAAGTGAAAATGCAAAGTTATTATAGCACAGAATACCCTACCCTCCACACAAAGGGGAAAACCCGCTCTGACTTTGCCTGGAGTCAGTGAACGGTTGGATAAGTTCAGCCTCTGACTTTGCCTGGAGTCAGTGAACGGTTGGATAAGTTCAGCCTCTGACTTTGCCTGGAGTCAGTGAACGGTTGGATAACTTCAGCCTAATTTTTTCCTACTCCATGGTCTATGTCGTGTCTCTTTCCTCTCTGAGGTCTGTGCTATGGCACAGATTCAGGCAAACGTCCTGTTCATGAGGCTAGACTTTGTGATGATGGAAAAGCCGGCCCTGCTTTGTTAATTTTATTCTCTTCCCACATTTTTTCTTGGTTGTATCTGGCGGTAAGTTTATCATACATATCTGATGCACACGTGCATTTTTTAGGTTCACAAGTTGTGTAAATGTAGTGGCAGAGTCTTCCCTAGCAGTCGTCCCTGCTATCAAAACTAACTGCATTGGACCAGGAGTTCAGCACCACAGAGGTGTCCACAAGGTGCAGACTCTTAATGCTATATATCTTGTACAACATGTAGAAGTGTACTTATTTATACTTAATATTCAGTACTTAACAGTTCATTTAGCTTGGAACCAGAAAGGTAACGTCCCACACAAATCTATGTCTCAAAGACAGGGCATTTCAAAGAATCCTTAGGTCTCGATTCTACCATTGTCATAGGAATATCGAGGTGAACTTAACCTGTATTTGAAAAATGAAATTATAATGATGCAGAAAAATAAAATCTGTACCCCACCCCTGGGATGGGGAGCTGTTCCTGAATCCAGGACCGAGAGACCAGCCACGTCCCACTGAGGCACGGATGCTGGGAGGTGGGTACTGCTTACTCAACAGCAGGTATTTGCTCACCTGCAACACAAACAAACAGCACGTCCCTTCAGATTTGCTCCTGTCCTGGTCCTTCAGGGCTCCTTATAAAGAGGCAAAGTTGTAAATAGTACCTCTTAAGTGCCAAAGTACAGCAACTTGATTTTTTTATTTAAAAAGTGAAACAGTGAAAGATATTTCATAACCGTGGGTTTTTATCTCCTTCCATGGTTTCTGAAGATAATTATTTAATCATTTACTTCCATTTAAAATACAGGTAGAAAATTAATAGGTGTGGATTGACAAACAGAAGCACTGGGTTTACTTGTTTCCATCAACTGAAAGTCTGTTGACATTGTTGTTCTCTCGCTTACAAATTTAAAAGAGACCCTATTTTTTTTGCCTCAGAAAAGTCCAGTAAATGCTGAATGCTGCATTTTAGAATGTACTCTCTAAGTGAAGGCGGAACTGAATCGTAATTATATACGTTCAATGTTTACAGGAAAAAGTGAAAGCTGAACACAGAGACAAGCTGGGAGAAAGGGATGACACCCTCCCACCTAAATATCAACATCTCTTGGATGATGACAAGGAGGTAAATGAGGGCAATGTCTAGGTTAGATGGATATATGCTCCAAAGCGTTTGAGATCCACACCTCACTTGAAATGAATAGGAGGTACACTGTAACAATAGCATAAACATGTAACATGACTGATGTTTTTAATCTGTCCCCACTGAGCAGGCTGTCTAGAATTCTGTTTAATATTTATTTGAGCCAGTACTCTTGGATGTTTACTGCGCTGGGCACTGTGGCATAGAGAGTTGAATAATGTTCATTCACTCACTGATGCTTAACAGCGATTCTGTGGCATGTACATATATGAATTCTCCTTGCAAGAAAAGGCTATAAAAAGAATGATATTTGTAATCTTGACTGAAGCAGAGTTTCTCTGTTGAAGGAGAACAGAAAAAGAGCTAGTATTGGAATAATTCATAGGGCAAATACGACCCCTCCAAGACCTGCTGTCTCTCTTTCTTCTCCTACAACACCACCTGTGCTGTTGAGAGTGAAGACAGACAAAGCCATATTCCCAGTCACAAGTCCTATTTCTCTATCTAAATGCACTCCGTCAAGAAGTCTCTGTCTTTGTCTCTAACATGGAAGCCAGTTTCGCTTAGGTCAACCTGGTCTGTACCCTACTCCTTCCTATTTGGCTCTTAGTTGCAAGTCCATTAGATGTTAAATAACCCTTTGCAGGTCTGTTCACCCAATAAAAAACAAGGAAGTGTAAATTACATCTTTCTCATTCTGTACTGATGCATGTGAGGGGTTTGATGGCTGTGGTTTATAGAATATTATCAGCTGCAGTGTCTTCTGTTACAGGAATCTGTTCTCCTCGCTTGTGTCGAATAGTCACAATAGCAGCTGTGCATCCTGCTAGAATCCTCCCTGCTTTGATAGTCGCGTGTGACTCTGCTGTATTCTTTAGGAAATGTATTATTTAGTAGCCTTGCCTTTGCAGATGGGAAAAATCCCTGATGAGTTGTCCTTGTAATCTTCACTGAAAAAAATCTATCTATAGACCATTCCTTCCCAAGTGTAATAAGCTATAGTAGATAAGCATATAGTCAATTAGTAAATAAGACATAAAAACACAAGTTACTTTTTGTAACATTTTAACTAGAATTATACAATGACAAAGTTGCTAAAATAGTGTTTCTTTCACTTCTAGGAAAAGACTCACCCTTGCATTTTCTCCAAGGCTATTGAAATAGTTATAGGGTAGGCGTTAAGCAAAGCTGGTGAAGAAATGATAGGGACACAGGTTTATCAGTTATGCAAGTCTATACAGTCGTCCCTTGGTGTCCATGGAGCATTAGTTCCAGGACCCCCAGATACCAATGTCTGAGGATGCTCAAATCCCTTATATAAAATGGCATAGTATTTCCCTGTAACCCTACACACATTCTCCTCTATACCTTAAATCATCTCTAGATTACTCAGAATACCTAATACAATGTAAGTGCCATGTAAGTAGTTGCCAGCATGTGGCAGATTCAAATTTTGCTTTTTGGAACTTTCTAGAATTTTATTTCCCTAAATATTTTCGATCTGCCGTTTGGTTGAATCTGCCAATGCAGAATCCACAGATGCAGGGGGCTGACTGAACTCCATTTCAAGTCACTGGATAAGAGATTATATAAATACCGACTACACCTAAGTAAACCTTTACAAAAATTTGTTTAACCAAGAGTCTGCTTTGTTTCTAAGGGCAAATCAGCGACGCCACCTACAAAGAAACCCGAGGCATCAGAGGTAAATACCGTATCCGCGTATTTCCGTAAAAAAGATTTTTTTAAACTCTAGCTGCGACTTTTACATTTTAGAAATCTGAAATTCACTGAATGCCTACCTTGTGCTTGGTGGGATGCCAAGGCACGTGTGTAAGAGTGTATTATTTCTGTCTTCCCAAGTCCATTCAGGCTAGGCAGTTCCATTTTCCAGGTTAGAAAATCAAAGCTCAGAGAATACAAAGAAACTTGTGTAAAACAGTAGAAGAAAATAGAGCTGGCAAGATTTTCCTGTTTTAAAATCTCTCTTTTGTAATACACTAGTCTGTTAGGAAAAGAATGTCAGCAAGGTTTTCTATTAAACAAACATATTTTCAGGGATGTGGGGAAATGTCCTACGTAGCATCTTTGCCTTGTGCTTCTTCCCTGATGGTTATTTCTGTTAAAATCTCAGAAAGCTGCAGATGCCCAAGACCCCATTGATGCCCTCTCAGGGGACTTTGACAGCTGTCCCTCAACTACAGAAACCTCAGAGAACACAGCAAAGGTACTGTGCTCTTTCCTATTGACTTGCTTTGAATGTCTATATATACACAAACACACACATATGTATATAATACATATATATTTTTATATTGTAAAATAAACTGGTTAATGCCATCGAGAACTTGAAAAGAAAAAAATTCTATAATTCTGCTACTCCACAAACACTATTATTTGGTATATTTCTTACCTTTTTCCATATGTATATTTTACATAGTTGTACTTATTGTCCACATATAATACATTGCTTAACATTATTTCTTAAATGTTTTCCATGTTGCTTTATAATCTCCATAGCTACCATTTTTGATCGCCACACTATATTGTTGTACAACAGTAATGCTTCATCTGTGTTCATTTAAAATGAGAGCAGTCCCTCACTACATACTACGCCCCTTGCCCTCTGGGGCTTCCTCCCCTTTTCTGCCCGGAGCAGCTGGCTGACTCTCCTACTCACCTGTCAGGGCCCAGTTCAAACATCAGCTTCTCCTGGAAGACTTCCCTGTCTGCTTCTCCCTTCGCAGATCAGGGATGTTGCCTACGTGCCCTCTCTGCACTGTGGGTTACCTGTCACATGTGCATCACACCACTGAGCTGCATGCAGCAGTGATGTGTCTGGTACCTCTGTGCTCAGCATTAGCAAAATGCCTGGTACACAGCAGGTGCTTAAAACATGATCAAAAGCGAATGAAAAAATGTGTAATCCATCAACTAGAGGGAAAAGTGACATGAGTGCCCTTCATTGTTATTTCAGAAAAATTAAAATTGCACATCTCTTTGCTATTGTTTTGGCTGTTATTAAACATATCTCCCAATCAATCAATCAGTCACTGAATTGTCAGTCTTGCCCATCTTGGGTGATTTAATTTCTAGACCACATCAGCATCCTATCTCTCACTCCTGGAACTTCATAAATAATGCCTTTCTGGTGAATGGACTTTCTTTTTGTATAGGACTTGCCCTAGGCTCTCCCTGGTTGTTACATTCTCTTCCATAACACTGAAAACAAACAGTGTCCTGTTGGCACAGAAAAACCAATCCTGATAGAAACAAGCTGTTTTGGTGAGCAAAATACAGTCTGGGTGAACGAGCATCATCAGTGTGACTCATCTTTTCCTCATTTTTATCCTTTTTACCCGCCACCTTGAACACCTCTGTGTACTTTCAGTGTTGTTCGAAAAATCATGACTAAAATACTCCATTTAATTAAATTGGAGATTCCAGGCTACTAAAAAGAATAATCTGGATCGATTTGATAGCAGCAGCAGTTAATTGCTAGATGGAGTGTTGATAGCAAGAGCCTCATTACATTTCCTTTGCTTTAGGACAAAGACAAGAAGACTGCTTCCAGCTCCAAAGCACCCAAGAACGGGGGTGAAGCAAAGGATTCTGCAAAGGTAAACTGAAGAGTAAATAGACTACAGATTAACTTGGCAATGACATCGAGTGGTGTATCCCTAGTCAGTTAGTTTCTGATTGGGACCTATTCAGAATAAAATAATTTTTAAATACTATCTGTCCCCTAGCATGTCTTGGTAAAGAAATGGAAGTTTTAGAGACATTTAAAGTAACTGATACTTTAGAAATCCGAGTGAACATTCTTAACACAATTGAAGTTTCCTGCATTCCTAGCCCTTGTCACACAAAGTCCCACTGTCAGCTGTGCTAGTCTGGAATGAGTGCAGGCCCTCTCCCCTTCATCAGACCCCACAAACCTCATGCTCTCTCGTAGCTGCTTTCCCTCACTGTGTGCAGATAGCCTTGCCTTCTACTTCAAAGAGAAAATCGAGGCTGCCTTGCAGAAAATAACCAAGATCCCCTTCCTACCTGCCTCCCAACAAACCCTCTCCCCTCTTGCCCTGCAGCCCCTTCTTTCTCTCAGGGGGTCAATAACTCTCTCCGGTATCTTTGTCTCAATTCTTTTCCCTTGTAATACAAACACATTCAAATTCTTTCATAACTTCAAAAGCCCTATTTCCCTCCATCCCTTCACCTCCTCGAAAGATTTGTCCCTATGACCCTGCTTCCTCTTCCTGAGCTCTGCCCGAGAACAGCAATGACACGCTGGTTGCTTTATCGCTGGTACCTTATCTATCCTTAGTTTACGTGATCTCTCAGGTATGCTCTTAGGCATCAGAGTTGATGCTGTAATGGACTGTGACTTCGGGGAATGTTGGGATGGGTGAATCTATTTTATGCCTTCAGCTCTCCAAAACCCAGACTGCCACTTCCTACTCCACATTTCCACTTGGATAAACACTGACAGTACAGATCCATATACTATATTTCATCAAATCTAAATCACCATCAGTTATATATCATTAAGAAAAAATGTCAACAACTTGATTATGATGTTATTCATCATAACAGCCAGCAAATTAAGACATGTTAAAATATGTGTGTGTGTGTGTGTGTGTGTGTGTGGCAAGGGAGGTGACACCACCAGGGAATGTGGTTTATATGAATCTTGGAACATGGAAGTAGTATATGAAATTGAGAAGATCTTACAGTTTCTGTGATTCAATCTACTCACATTAAATACTAGTAGTCTTTCCTCCCAGGTGATATCTAATTTTTCACATTGCTCTGGAAAGCAAAACTAAGACTAATGAGTAGAAGTTATAGGGTCTGGTTTCTTAGAGTTGGGCATTAATTCAGCACAACACTTGGAAGTTTCCTATTAACAATTACTGAAACTGTGGCCAGGGAAGGAATGGAAATTGGATTAGAAAACTTCTAGGTCCCCTCCAATTCTAAAAACATAGGATTCAAATGGTTATGACTATGATCCCAAATATAATGAGAAATAAAAGGTACAGGTTTAAAAACAGTAGTCCAGCTGAATCAAAACTCTTAAAAAACAAGATAGTGAGTTCCAGTTCAAGATGGTGATGTAAAGAAGATCCTCAACTCACCTTGTCCCATGGAAACACCAGATCTACAGCTGCATATGTGACAATTTCCTCTAGGAAAAAACCCCCAAATTATCCGTGTGACTCCTATTTATCTGGCAAATGAGAGAAGGCTGGCATCAAAGAGGGTAGGAGAGGCTAGGACACAGTCTCAACATAAACTCCACCCCAACACAGCAACCGACCATCAGGAGCAAACTCAAAACTTCTCCCTGCAGATCAAAAAATTTGAAGCCCACATCAGCACCCAACCTTAAAGACCACCCGAGAAATGAGCCCCCAAAACATCTAGCTTTGAAAGCCCATGGAGCTTGTGTCCAGAAGACCCACAAGGCTACAGCAAACTGAGAAACAGTTCTTAAAGGACTTGTGAGCTCTGACTCATCTGCCCACCCCAAAGCAATCAGAGATACAGTTCTTGGCCGGCTACCATCCCCAGAGTACTGCACAGACAGCAGACTAAAACATATACCCCCAGTCTTTCTGTGTAAGAGGCCTACTTGCTTGTCCTGGAGCTTTGGCCTGAGGGGCAGGCTTCCGGTTTGGCACACATCTAGACACCTACGGATGTGCTCTTAGGAAATGTAAGCCATCTTTGTGCTGTTTCTCCACCTCGCTCCAGGTCACCAGCATCTCCTAGAAAGGGGGCTTATACACTCATCTAGAGGCCCAATTTTTGTAACTGCCACCCAGGGGACACTTGCTGATCACCTGGCTCTGGTAGCCAGCAGGACTTATGCTTGTGGTCCATCCTACAAGACTATATATATTTGTATATTTTAAAACCTGCTACCTGTGGGACTGGCTTCCATTCAGCCTGAATCTAGGTGCTGAGATTCTCCCCTTTGGGACACTGACAGATCTTAGCACACCCTCAACTACTGTGAACCACTGAAAATAAAATAGGCAGCTTGAACACTTAAAATGTTTTGAGAGACGATCAAGAGTTAGGGCAGGGTTTAACAGTAAGGTTCATCTCCTACCTGAGGCCACTCCTTTAAGACTGGGAGAGGTGGTTGTTTTATCTAATGCACAGAAACCAACACAGAGAGTCAAGGAAAATGAAGAAACAGAGGAGTATGTTCCAAACGATTAAAACCTCATGATAAAAATCTTAATGAAGTGATTTACCTGATGAGTTAAAAATAAGTCATAAATTTGCTCACCAAACTTGGGGGAGGAATGGATGAACACAGTGAGAACTTCAACAAAGAGATAGGAAAATACAAGAAAGTAACAAATAGAAGCCACAGAGCTGAAATATACAGTAACTGAACTAAAAAACACACTAGAGGGGTTTAACAGCAGACTAGAAGAAGCAGAAGAAAGGATCACTGAACTCAAAGACAAAGCAATGGGATTCACCCAATCAAAGCAGCAAAAAGAAAAAAAATGAAAAAAAAAAAGTAAAGATCGCTGAAAGGACTTATGGGACAACATCACACAAACCAACACAGACGACCATCTGCATTCCAGGAGTCCCAGAAGGAGAAGTGAGAGAGAAAGGGACAAAGAACTTATTTGAAGAAATATGGCTAAAACTTTCCCTAACATGAGTAAGGCAACAGACAACCATATCCAGGAAGCCCAGAGCCTTCCAAATAAGAACCCAAAGACACCCATATCAAAGACACATTACAATTAAAATATCAAAAGTTAAAGACAAGGAGAGAAACTTAAGTGAACCAAGCAAAAAATAACTTTTTACATACAAGGGAACTCCCTCAAGACTCTCAGCAGATTTTCAGCAGAAACTTTGCAAGCCATAAAGGAGTGTCATGATATATTCAAAGTGCTGAAAGAAAAAACTTCCAAGAATACTCTTCTTGGAAAAGTCATTCAGAATTGAAGGAAAGAACAAGTTTTTCCAGTAAGCAAAAGCTAAAGGAGTTCATCACCACTAAAAAAGACTTCTTTAAGCTGGAAAGGGTGCTAATTAGTAACAGGAAAACATAGCAAAGTATAAATCTCACTGGTAAAGGTTAACATACAGTAAAATTCAGAATAGTCTAATGTTGTAAAGCTGGTGGATTAATCACTTATAAAGCTAGTATGAAGGTTAAAAGACAAAAGTAGTAAAAATAACTATAATTATAATAATTAATGGATACACAGGATTAAAAGATGTAAAATGGACATCAAAAACATAAAATAGGGGGTGGGGGAGTAAAAATGTAAAGCATTCAAACATAACTTGTTATTGACTTAAAATATAAATGTTAAGTTGTTATATGTAAGCCTTATGGTAGCCACAAAGTAAAAACCTATAGTAGATACACAAGAGAGAAAGAGAAAGGAACCTAAGCATACTACTATAGAAAATGATCAAATCACAAAAGAGAGCAAGAGAAGAAGGAACAAAGGAACTACAGAACAGCCAGAAAATAATTAACAAAATGGCAATAAGTACATACTTATTAATAAATATTTTAAAAGTAAATGGGCTAAATTCCGCAATCAAAAGACAGAGTGGCAGAAGGGATAAAAAAGCAAGACCATCTATATGCTGCCTACAAGGAACTCACTTCAAATTTAAGGACAGACTGAAGAGATGGAAAAAATATTCCATGCATATGGAAACCAAAACAAAGCTGGGGTAGCTATACTTACACCAGACAAAATAGTCTTTAAAACAAAAACTGTAATAAGAGACAAGAACAACATTAAATAATGATAAAGGGGTTGATGCACAAGAGGATTTAACATTTGTAAATAGTTATGTACCCAACATAGGAATGTCTAAATATATAAAGCAAATATTAACAGATCTAAGGGGATAAATGGTAGGGGACTTTAATACCCCATTTTCATCAACTGATAGATCATCCAGACAGAAAATCAATAAGGAAACACTGGCCTTAAATGACATGTTATAGCAGTTGTACTTAATAGCTATATACAGAACATTTGATCCAGAGCCACAGAATACACATTTCCTCAAATGTACATGGAACATTCTCCAGGATATATCATATGTTAGGCCACAAAACAACTCTTAATAAATTTAAGAAGACTGACATCATATCAGGCATCCTTTTTACTACAATGGTATGAAACTAGAAATCAATTATAAGAAGAAACTGGAAAATTCACAAACATGTGGATTTCATAAACAATATGCTACTCAACAACCAATGAATGGGTTAAAGAAGAAATCAAAAAAGAAATTAAAAAATACCTTGAGGGCTTCCCTGGTGGCACAGTGGTTGAGAGTCCGCCTGCCGATGCAGGGAACATGGGTTCATGCCCCAGTCCGGGAAGATCCCACATGCTGCAGAGCGGCTAGGCCCGTGAGCCATGCCTGCTGAACCTGCGCATCCAGAGCCTGTCTCCGCAACGGGAGAGGCCACAACAGTGAGAGGCCCGTGTACTGGGAAAAAAAAAAAAAAAAAAAACCTTGAGACAAATGAAAATGAAAACACAATATACCAAAATTGATGGGATCCAGAAGAAGTAGTTCTAGGAGGGAAGTTTATAGTGATAAATGCCTACCTCAAGAAATCAGAAAAATCTCAAACAACCTAACTTTATACCTCAAGGAACTAGAAGAAGAATAACAAATGAAGCCCAAAATCAGTAAAGGAAAGGAAATAACAAAAATCAGAACAGAACTAGATGAAAGAGATTAAAAAGACAATAGAAAAGATAAATAAAACTAAGAGCTGTTTTTTTGACAAGATAAAGTTCAGAAAACCTTTAGCTAGGCTGACCAGAAAAAAAAAAAAGAGGACTCAGATAAAATCAAATGAAAAAGGAGACATTACAGCTGATACCACAGAAATACAAAGGATCATAAAAGACTGCTATGAACAATTATACACCAACTATTGGACACCTTGAAGAAAGAAACATACACCTACCAAGACTGAATCATGAAGAAATAGAACACATGAAAAGACCATTACTAGTAAGGAGATTGAATTGGTAATCATAAACCTCCCAACAAACAAAAGTCTGGGATCAGAGAGCTTCTCTGGTGAATTCTACCATACATTTAAAGAAGACTTAAAACCAATCCCTCTCAAACTCTTCCAAAAATAGAAAAGGAGGGAATACTTCCAAACTCATTTTACAAGGCCACCATTATCCTGCTACCAAAACTAAGCCAGGGAACCAGAAGAGAAAATTACAGGCAAATATCCCTGATGAAAATATATGTATAAAATCCCCAACAAAATATTAGCAAACTGAATTCGACAGTACATTAGAAGAATCATACACCATGATCAAGTAGAACTCATTCCAGGGCTGCAAGGTGGTTCAACATCCGCAAATCAGTCAGCGTGATGATATGCCACATTAACAAAATGAAGGATAAAAATCATGATTATCTCAATAGATGCAGAAAAAGATCTGAAAACCCACATCCATTTATGGTAAAAACTCTCCACAAAGTGGATATAGAGGGAACATACCTCATCATAATAAGGGCCATACATAACAAACCCACAGCTATCATCACACTCAACGGTAAAAAGATGAAAACTTTTTCTCTAAGATCAGGAGAAAGACAAGGATACCCACTCTTGCCACTTATTAAACATAGTATTGGAAGTCCTAGCCACAGCAATTAGGCAAGAAAAAGAAGTTAAAAGCATTCAAACTGGAAAGGAAGAACTAAAACTGTCCCTATTTGCAAAACTGACATATTATATAAAGAAAACCCAAAAGACTCCACCAAAAACTGATAGAATAAACAAATTCAGTAAAAGTGTAAGATACTCTTTCTAGACACTAATAACAAACTATAAGAAGGAGAAATAAACACATATATGCCATTTATAATGGCATGAAAAACCCTCAGAATAAATTTAACTGAGGTGAAAGACCTATCCAATGGGAATGATAAGACAGTAATAGAAGAAAGTGAAGAAGACATAAATAAATTGAAAGTTATTCCATGCTCATAGATTGAAAAAAATATTGTTAAAATGTCCGTACTACCCAAAGCAGTCTACAGATTCAGTACAATCTCTATCTGTACTCCAGTGACATTTTTCATAGAAATAGAAAAAATAATCCTAAAATTTGTATGGAACCACCAAAGACCCCAAACAGCCAAAGCAATCTCAAAAAAGAAAAAGGTAGAGGCATCATGCTCCCTAATTTC